GCGGTTAAATCGATGCTCTTTTCGTTAAGCTCAGTGCAAGCGAACCGCTAAGCATGGACGGATCGGGTTAACGCTTGATGAGATCAAAACTCACCCTCAAGGAGGGTTGCGGTGCGCGGAACCATCCAATGCGAGGATCGAACTCTCAAATCGAAAGCGGCGTTAACCTTGAAAGCGATCAACCTGCAGGTGGAGGACACCGAGGTCAAGGGTGTATGTATTGTCATTGCCAGTAACTTCGATCCGCGGTTGCCGGTTTCAAAGGGTTGCCCTAAGTTCGCACAGGATTCTCCGGTGTTTCGCGTGGAAACCGAAGCTACTACTCCCACCGTTCCCACGCGGTTCTGCAGAGGCGAACCCGTTACAGAACCAGTCCGGGTTCAGCTGGTTTTCAGGAGCGAGTTGTGTCTCCCTCATCGGTTCTCTCGTTCGGGCAGCTGCTGTTGCGATCGAGGTTGTCGAATGACGAGCAGAAGAAATGGAAAGACAATTAATTGATCAATCGTGAGCCCGAGCGACCGCTGGCGTTTTTGCCGCCGCGCCGTCGGCACTGCCGATGGAGTCAAATCGAGACGAGAATTGCTGACGACCATTAAACAGTAAACGGGTGCTGGAAATGTATGTTTTCGAAGTTCGAAAGTGTTAGAGGACTGCTGCTTCCCACGCTTTTCGGACTCGTGTGCTCTGCCAATGCTAGCTTTTTTTAGCGGTTGACATCTGTCCGGCGAGCAGGCTCTTAACGGTTCAGTCGGCATTCCAGTGCAGCGAATACTTACACACAGACACACATACGGAGTCGAAGAGGCAGACGAGCGGGCTCGAGGCGGGGGCATGATGGTGAGAACGAGCGGGATGTGAAACTCATTTGCTGCTGCCGCCGCCGCCACCGCCGCTCTACGGGATCGGGTATGTGCGACGACGATCTCGACAAAGATGAGTACGATGGCTGCGTGGACGAATGTTTAGAGTCGAGAGATTCACTCCCATCAGATCTCGGGAGCCTCGGCAGGGAGTCCACCTTCCGGGCCAGTTCACCCAAATGCCCGACAAAAATGACAGACAGCATACACCGAAAGAGACTCACTGAGAATCAAGAGAAAAAATAGAATCATGCTCAGGGTGAGCGAATTGTTTGTGGGAACTCGGATTCGCGCCCTCGAGCGGCTACGAATAGTTTTCCCAGCGGCTTTGATTCGTTTTGCGGAACTTTTTCTCGTACGACACCTCGCAGGAATTTCCGTGGCCTCGTCAGGAGGGACAAAGAAAAATGAATTCCCCATCGACTGAGCTCGCAGTCCCCACTCGTACATGAGGACTGCACTTCATGTGCTTGTCTTGAATCGTGTCCAGGTCCATGCTAATTTCGAAAAAGTCAGGGAAGCTGGAGAGAGACGGATTGCGAGTCTTAGATCAGCCGGAGCGCCGGAAGCAAAACCGGAGGACCCAAACGTTTCGCAGGAAAAAAGAAAGGTGACGGGTCTCAAAAGAAAACCGCTCGACCGAGAGACTCCCATTCCCTCGACGACTTGACAAGGTTTCCCTCGACGTGGATAAATCTGCTCGGTTCCCCGAGAGCGTTGGCGTTGTTTCGAGCTCGTCTCGGCTTGCCATACACTGTGACATTCGGTCTTTTGTTCATAGCGAAAAGTAACGCGATCGGTCAAACGGGTGTACGATGAGCGAATCTAGACTACGAATGATCATTCGGCCGAAGATAGAAGACCCACGCTTTCCTTGGCTTGCCCGCCATCCGGAGAGCCAGTCGGCGAAGCTTCCTCGGCGGACTACTTCGAAACAATATGTAGTCTGAGCGCGCCGACTGACTGGCTGGCTGGCTTGCCTGCCTGCCTTCCGGCTGCCTCCCAAAGCCTTTCCAGTCGTCGACGACGGAGGCAAGAACAATTAGAGTCTTGATGTTAACACTGACCACCGATAGGCACAGGCGAGTCAACCAAAAAAGGAATTTCTCAGCGTCGGCATCTACTTATAGACGGCGACATAGCTTCGCTTCGTTTGTTCTCGGTATGTGTTCGAAGCGCGTCAAGGTTTCCGACTTGCTCGAGCTCTATCTTATGCATCATCAACTCCACCCCTGTAGAGCGTCTGAGCTTCCTCAGCAGATATTTTCGTGAGCCGTTCAATGAGATCATTGGTGGCCGAACGTATCGAGGAACATTGAATCGATCTGTCCACTTCGAGCTTCAGGTGTCTTCGCATGGCAGAACTGGCGATCCGAAGATTGCGCCCTTGACGCTTGTCGTCGACAACGAGATGGCACATCTACAATGGTATCTAAAATGACGATACCAAACTCCTTTGTCTACGGGGTTGCGCTAAGCCTCAAATGTAAGAGTTTCTTTCGGAGCATCTGTAGAGCCTCGGGTACTTCCTACCGTAGGTGCTGTCTTCAGCTACTTCGGCGTAGCGTTAAGCAGCAGCACCCCGTTCTCTCGCTTGATCGAGGGGCGCTCGGTCGTGACGCGGCCATTGAGATCCTCTTAAGCTTCCGTTCCAAGATCCTCGTCAACGTCATCGCGTTCGCGATATGTAATTTAATCGAGACGTCTATGTCATTTGTGTTTGTTCTAAGTTGGAACATCTGTTTGGACATGGATTTTCGTCGTCGCACTGACCCGATGGGAAGGTCCGGTGTTGGCAGCCCTTGAAGATCTTTTCGACCTGCGAACTCCACTTGTCTGGGAACCTCGAGCGGAGCCACTTCTCAATGAAAGTCGAGCTCGGCTCGACGTTGCGGGGATGGGTCCTCGAGCTGAGGTGTTCAAACGACCCCTGAGTCGCCAATCAGGTACGCTGATTGCGGAATCACATGAGCGGACGAAATGAATGGGGTGCCCCCGCAACATAGCGAAATTGGACCCGAGGTGTGATACGGACACTCCTTAAAGCTCGACATCTCAGAGTTGCGATCGGAAGCCGACTTACAGATCGGTTCACGCTTATCCATGATAATATTGAACCGCATACTGCGCGTACCCACCGTCCGCAGCTCGCGACGACCCTCGATCGGGCAGTGGGCACTCCGCAGGCGAAGCGAGATTCCGATGCGGGTGGTCGCATTCCGATCGGGTCGAGTTCCTTCTCGATTCCGGATTTGAAATTCCGGAATCGTTGGGGCTTTCATCCATTCGGTGGCTCCGCTCAGGAAATCTCTGAGCGCTGAGATTTGTCAAGATGTCCCTCGACGGAGCAGCGCTTAACACAGCTTCTCGGAGCCCCGTCACCGAGATCAAAGAGAGGAACGGAGCCCTTCGATGATGTCCGAAAAGCGCAATCATTCACCAATCTCTGCGCTGAAGTCCTCAGGACTAGCCGAATATTGATCGAGCAATATTTCACGACGGACGTGGAGAAGAAAAAATGCTGCAGTTCGACCTATCGGCCTATACTCCTCCCTCTGGGCTATTATCCGGAAGCTCTGATCTCACAAGAATATCGATGCGGATCGAGTATTCGACATCCTCCGTCTCGCCTGGATAAGCAAAAGAAGCTTCGAAGTGTTCCTCGGGGCAGAAAAAAAGAGAAGCTGGAAGGGAATCCTTCTCAAGACTCTTCTCCTGACGCTGCATGGACACGAGGATCTGTAGAAATATCATTGGCTCTCCTCTTCGCGGAAGCGGTCGTACCCTTGGGAACGATTGGGGAATCAGCTCCCGAAGGAGGACCGCCGCTCTCTGCTAGCCGGACTATGTGGAGCCAATATTCTGAAGGGTGAAGATTATTAGGACCATTTAGATCTCGAAGCCTAAAACCAAGAGTGTATGCATGGGCCAGTCCCACTTCCGAGGGGGAAAATCTGGACAAGATCTCGGAGTGGCCTACACTGGGGCTCTCAGAATCCCGCTGAAGTTTCGGAATCGAGGAGATCCTTGGCGCTAGAATGACGAATTCCGCACGTTTTTCGACTCAAGAAGAAAACCTCCCGAAGGCCGTCCGAAGTCTCGGAGACCTGGATAACTGGATTGTCTCTCTGAAGATCGATATCACCAAATCGACCCCAATATTCCCGTCCAGCCCCTAGTTCTAATTTTTCACGGTTCCCAGGAACGGTTCATGCGAAGTTAGGCTCCTTGGAGAAGTACGCGCATATGCGCGAAAGCTTGGAAGGGCTCGGCGCGCTGATAGAACTGTCTGTTGCTGGAAATGGTCGAGCTCCGGAAGATCATGGAAAATTCATCGCGCGGGATGTTTAGCTCTTACGAGTCGGCGGGGAACCCAAAAAATCCTCTTTGTTCCCTATCATATAAAGGAAAAGTCCCTTAACATCAAAAGCAAGAGGGGTAGAAGTAGATACCCTCACATGCGCAGCGCGTAATAGGTACTGCTCTATCAACGCCACCTGGGGTCGAAATTTCGAATTATTCGTTCTTCTAGCCAGCGAGCCAGAGGCGAAACTCCGCCCAATTGCTTTGTGAACTCCTCCTTTTACTGGCGGTTGCTAGTGCTGCTCAGAAGCTTCTCTTCATAGACGTTCCGCGCTGGCTCTATTGAAACGATGTGCGAGTGAGAAAGCCCGCCCGCCAGAGAGAGGGTTCGCGCGATACACCTTCTAGCCGTTCTGAACTCTGCTTCAGATCGTGGCAAGAGCCCGTTAGAGTCGAAACGCTGCCTCTGGCAATTCGCAACCACGTTGTTCGGCGTTTCGTCTGAAGCCCGGTTCAATCTCGATTGATTGATTGTTTGTTACGTTGAGTTCGTGAAGCACTCCCGTTGGACGATTGTTGACCGATCGACTGATCGACCCACCGAACGACTGAACTTACTTCAAGCTGCCCTTGTGAATCGGATACTCTGGCATCGAGCTGACCCTCGAACCCTTGCAGGAATTCCAGGACTTTATCCTCCTGCATTCTTCGTCGACGCCTCCGCCGCTGCTGCCACCGCTGCTGCAACTTGAGGGACTTGCGTTGTGTTGTTAAGTCCGTGTGCTGTACTTCGATACCGGCCGCTGTCGTCGCACAGTCCGGCCAATTGGAGTGGTGATGCTCGATCTGAGCCTCAACATACCGTTGTCTCCCACGACGATCACCGGTCTCGGGCTCATGAGCGCGGTCTCGTCGACCGAGCTTCTCAGTATGACGGTTGCCAGCATGGTTCGTCGGGAAAAAGAGACGGCACCGACCACCAACATCCGATCAAGCCCCCCTCCAGTAGAAACTTCACAAACAGTCACCGAATCGGACAAAGAGCCGATGCAGACACAGCTTTTCGCTATCGGCGAAGACGTCAAGGACACATCGATAGTGTTCAAGAGGAAGAAGAGACTTGACGACCTGGTTGACAGGTTGAGCAACTCTAGCGCGCCACCACCGGTAAGTGATCCCCATCTAGAACATCTCCCTTAGCTAGCACCGATTTGTCTGCACGTCCTTTAGTTTATCGATGAGAAGACCGAAGACTCGGTGGTCGATCCCCTCCGCCCTCATTTCGGAAATTTTGGCTCGCGATTCGCAGAGACGAGGTAATTCGGATCATCTCCATAGTTTTCCGATCCTCGATCTTCGCCGCGAGATCAGGCGCGGAAAGAGAGCGACCGCGATATGAATTCTCAAGAGCTCTGATTTATCTGGAGTCCAAGATTCCGGAAATACGCCGACTCGATGATCCGTGTCACCATGAAGTAACTCGAGAGGAGAATGTAGAAGGACCTTTATTATCGTTGGCCGCCGCCGCCACCGCAATTAGGGCCGACCTGGTCGTTCCCGCTTCTCGTTTGAGAGGGACTTGTGATCTTCCCTGGCGAGTGCTGTCGCTGTTTCTGCCTAGCCTGTTCTTTTTCTTAAGATGACATTGTGGGATGAGAGAACGGTCGTTCTCTTCGTAGTCTCGTCTTCTCCAAAGGGTTGTGGGCGTGATACATACTTTCCAGCTTGGAGACATCGAGCACTTCGATTGAATTCGAAGATTCCGATGTATCTGAATCGCAATCGATCGTCGGAGGTGTTCAGCAGTAGGCCACGGTACCGCATGTTTTGACACCGGTCGTGAATGAGTCGGACTCCCACGAGATGAACCACCTGCGTGATCTCGTAGCGGCCCCATTCACAGGTCTTGCCCTCCAGCTGTTATCCCAGTCGTCATCGTCGTCGCCTCCTCCTCCACCACGGTGAACGAAGCTGCTGGTGAAGGCCTATTTTGGAGAAGGGCCTCATTTCTCAGAGTGTATGCATACTAGCTAGTGTACGACAATGCAACACCGAGTACGAAGGCCTCCATTGAGTAAGCTCACGGTGAAGGCGGCGGCGGCGGCTGAACTCCTCACCCACACAAAGCCGTCAAAGAAGCAACTTCGTTCCCACGAACAACGAGGCCTCGATCTTCTCCAGATCTTCAGACTGCAACAAAGAGAGGGGGAGGTGGTTCGCGAGGGGTTGCGAGAAACTAGAGTACGGGGGCAGTGGAGTAGATACCCTGCTCTGGATTGATATACATGAGTACGTAGACGCATATGCATTCGAATCGCCAGACGGTCTCGAAAATCGTATGTTTTGCATCAACCTGCTCCTTGGAGCAATCGATATCCGTTAGCCGAGAGCGTGACCGCCACCGACGTATTCGGGGATATCACACCTCTGTTATCGGAGATGAGCCCTGAAGTTCGGGTGGCCTCGTGCTGATAACGCTCACATACTGTCAACATTGGATGAAGAGCTAGAGCCCCAATGAGATTCCGAACTCAGGGCTGCGTTCAATTCCGAGGCCGGCAGAGGGTGAGGGCTCTCCTTCAGGTACACAACGAGAGATTGTTCGTGCCAGAGTCTCTGGAAAGGGTTCACGGTTGATGCCAGCACCGAGACTGTCTGCGAGCGGTCGTAGAGTCTATGAGCTACAAACACAGGCTGTCTGCGACGACAGTCGGCGGACAGGTGCGTGGCCTCCCTACTCATTCTCAGATTAGCTCGAGATCCGTATTGTCGTCGGTGTTTTCCCATCTTCGTCCCCCTTTAAAATTCAGTCTGTCCATCGATTGATTGAGCGGACGAGACGTCGGCTGACCAACAGAAGGACCGAGCCGTCTCACGTCAAGTGGCCGCTTAAGATCCCTCTGGGATAATTGCCGCGAGACCGAAAGGACCCCATTGATTGGGAGGTCCTCCTTCGAAGAATGTTCCCAAGAACAAATGAGTCTCCGGAGTCGGGACAAAACGGCGACGACCACTTTTTTTGGTCTACTAAACGAGACGTGTGGTGTCATAAATCATATGGGCGCCTGCTAAACTCTGTTAGTCCGCTCGTTGGCGGTTTGTTCGCGCACCGGCAGCTCGCTGCTCTGAGGCCGTATGGGTTATAGTACAACGACAACAAGTGTGCGCCGATCTCGCAGAGTAAGCGATCTCACTCCGAGAATGACGCGCTTGATGGCCACGGAAAGAACGACGACGACGAAGAGGAAGACGACGACGACGACCCGCAGTCGCGGCAGCTACAGCCTGCTGTTGCGGGTACGACGATGCCGACGGTCACCTGCTCAAGCAGACAAATCGGTGCAGATCAGCAGCATTGCCATAGGGCTGCTGCCTTAGTAGCGAGAGTGCGTGTTGTTTTATAGTGACAATGGAAGCAACTATGCGGTCGCTTTGTCTAAGAATACCTTCTCCTCTTTTTCGTCTTTGTGTCGTTTCTCCTTCGACGCTTGTTCAGCAAGCTCTATTCTCTCCGTCTGTAGCCTGAAAAATTCGCTGATGACGAGCGAGCGGGCAGGCAGGCAGGCGGGCGGACCGGCGGGCGGGCATTCGCTCGCAGGGATCGGCGGGAAGAAGCGAATCCGCTGCTGAAGGAGCCGAATCGGGCAAACGGCGGTGGCGGGCGGGCTGGTCGCGGGAGCTTCTCTCAGGAATGTTGTACTTCTTGCTCGATCAATGGCTGGCTGCTTCGTTTGTCTGCAACTCATGGTGGTAATTGTAAGTGGTCGACCGCGTGGACGGACGCACGGAACGACGACTGACGGCCGACCGGCTGTCTGGCCGTGCGGACGGCCGGACCGACGAACGAGCCGGCGGTCGATCGAACAACTGCACCGCATGTTGGTAGCAGTAGCTGTGGCAGCAGCGAACAACTGATGGCCAACCGAAGACCCACCCAGTTTGTTGTGGAAGCAGAAGCAATGGCCGCCATCTTGATTGACTTCGCCTTCGGGTCTTCGGCTGATGATGAGCGACTGCCCGTTGCTGGCTGGCTGACCGACCGACCGACCAACTGATTCGGTCTGCGCTCGGTCGGTCAGTCGGCGGGCGAGCAAGCAGCTCCTTGGCAAGCAGAAGCTGAACAGCGAAATTCTAGATATAATCGACAGCATTCATCACGGCTGCGAGCGAGGCGAGCAGCCATTGAGGGCAGGCACAACACGGGCCCCTTCGGCTACTTGTGTGTTGCGGCTACCTCCCCCAGCAGCAGAGCCACTGCCGTTTCCCATTTATCTTGTCGGTTTTTCAGTTTTGCTGTCGGTTTCTGTTACGAGCCGTATTTCGCGGCGCTTGCCATGCAAGAACGAAGCGTCGAGCCCTCCTCGACGGAAGCAAGAGACGTCGTCGATTGACAAAACTTTCGCCAGATCTATATGGTTGGGGGGGAAGGATCCTGATCCTCCGCTCGTCCTGGAAACGACAGAGGAGTTCCCCAACTCTCGCTCCGCTAGCTAAAGCGGAAGACCTCTCCCTGATCCGTGACAGGCAACTAACGCACATATTTCTTTTGCTCTTTACAGAAAAAGCGTCACAACAGTGGCGATATCAAATCGGGAAGATCGGCGCGTCGTGACGATCGGGTAACCTCATCAGAAGACAAGACGGAATCCGATGTCAAGCTATTCGTTGCGGACACCCCACCCGCTTCATCCTGGTCGCCAAAATCGCTTTACACAGACAGCATGCGATCGCCGTTGGCAGTTTCGCCGCTTTACGCCTCACTGGAGCATTTACTTCCCAACCTGATGAAGAGGGATCAGCTAGCGGCCAATTTCGCCCGGAGAGATCATCTGCTCAGACATCAATCAAACTCGAGCCTCGAGTCGGTTACTTCTACACCTCAGGACTCTCCATTGGATCTCTCGGTCCGGAAAACGCCCTCTCCTCCGTCGTCGGCCGGGCACACGGATGAAACGCTACGAACTTCATCTAGTCCGACGACAGCCTTCGACTATAGTCAGACTCCGCTGCAACTGCAGTTCGAGCTCGGACCCCTCTTAGGTATTAGTCCGCCGTTTTATTCGACGCCGCCCCAGATGAAGCGCCGACTGTCGCCCACGCAGCCGTCGTTCCCGCTGCTCTCGTCGTCCGCGTCGTCCGCATCTTCGGCGGAAACGAGTCCCGTCGAAGAGAATCAACAAAGTTATGCGTGTTCCATCTGCGGCCAAACGTTCTCGTTGCACGACCGTCTAGCGAAGCATATCGCGTCCCGTCATCGCAACAAGAACTCGTCGCCGGAGCTCTCGTCCACGCAGAACTCCTCCTCGACGTCGAGCAGCGGACGCAGCTACACGTGCGACATCTGCGGTCGATCCTTCGCGCGCAGCGATATGCTCACGCGGCACATGCGCCTGCACACCGGTGTCAAACCGTACACGTGCAAGGTCTGCGGACAGGTGTTCAGTCGCAGTGATCACTTGTCGACCCATCAGCGAACGCACACTGGCGAAAAGCCCTACAAGTGTCCCCAATGTCCATACGCCGCATGTCGGAGAGACATGATCACCCGACACATGCGGACCCACGCCCGGTACCAGTTGCCCGCACTCCCGGATTCGAGCTCCTCGTCGCTCGAGGAAGAGCCCCTGGCAGCTTCATCGCCCGTCCAGAGTTGAGTTTGCTCAACAAAACTCCCAAAAAGAAATTTATTGTAGACTGCAAAGATGAATAATTGTGAGCTGAGGAAATCTCTGATGCGCCCTCCAGCTTCGCAGAGTACAACTGGAACACATGTACACGGACGAGATCAGAAAAACAGGCAGATAGGCATAAACAAACAAACAAACCAAAGTGAAGTCAACTTTCGTCTTTCAAAACACAAATCACGTAGTCAGTGAGCCGAGGCACGCGGCCCATGACGGGGCTCGCCAGAGCCCCTGTGCGCGTGCCCGGTGTCAGTACCGTTCGAAATACTCGTCTTGTGCTCGCATCATCACGTCGATGAGCTCGGTGAAGAAGGTGGACATGACAGATCTCGCATGACAAGATCTCCCGAAACTCCGCGTTTCGGCCTCTATTTATTTATGTAGAACGAATATCCGTGCAGAGGTAGATTTATTTTTCTGTAAAAACATCAACCCCGGATACGAGTCTCCATCGTTTCATCTCAAAGTCATAGCATGAAGGCGATAGATGCCGCGATCGACAGGCGCGCATGAATGGCTAAGCCGTATGCGTCACAGAGTGGATGGATGGGTGATTGATTGACGGAATGATAGAACGCGCGTGGGTGTCGACGTTGAGTTTGATAATAAGCCCGACCGATGTCACGGGAGCTGATTCGGCAACAAACACTCCCAAGCATTTTGGTGTCGGGATTTCATATACGGCAGTCGAGAAACTGTATCATACTGTAAATGGGACGCCTAAAACAGAAAAGTCGGAAGCGGAGCCGAACTTGAGTGAAACCATAATGTAAAGAAAGAATAAACCTATTCTTGAAAAATGTAACAAATTAAAATCATAAGTCTTCTCTCTTTAGGGGCGTTGAAAAACGACTCTCTCTTAGAAAAGAAAATTCCGGGGCTTCAATATCCTCTCTGGACTCTCGTTCAAGCCGTAGTGACATCGGATCACCACGGCTCCATGGGGAAAGGGATAATCTCTAGGGTCCTGCTGACAGAACAGGCCAGGATCCGGGTGCCATGCATGACGTGCATGAAGAGTGTCGTTCTGTTCTTCCCCCGACGCTGCCGATTACGACGTTAATTGTGTCAGATGGATGGGTCTGATGGATACCGTCCAACACCTCACCTGAATACATCGGTGGGTAGGTGGAAACACCTGTGTTCCACATCGATGGGGGAGAGCAATCGAAAAGAGCATCATCGTCGAACGCAAGTCGATTGTACCTCTGAAGAATGATACAATCATCCTCCACCCAATTCCTCGAACCCTGTAGGCCCCTGTTTCAATTTTGGATTTCGGTCGACACCGCATAGTCCGATTCGGCTGTCCCCGTTCGTAATGAGTTTCTTTTGCTTTTCAATCCACATACGCGTTATTAGTTCTTTCATCCGAGTGCGGATCTAGTGTCTGATTGTGATGAGCAGGCGAGCGAGCGGGCCAGGGAGCGAGCCGATGAAGAAGCCGCGCGGACATGCGGACCGATCGCGTTGATGAGCTGCTCCAGAATGTCTCTTGAAATAAGCTAAACAAAAGTCCGGCTGTTTTCTGTGGGGGCGAAGAAATCCGGGATTCCTGACCCGGGTTAGTCGACTGGCCGTCAGAGCGGCTAGCCGAGGTCGGATCCGGGACTCAAACACGACTCCGCATCGCTTCTAGTTAATTTGGAACTTAGTCAAATCAATGTCACGCTGCGACCGGGTGCTAACTGGACTATTCATGTTCTCCTTGACGCTCGCTCGTTCACTCGGTCAGCTCAAGAGCTGCGTTCAATATCCAGCTGCGAATGGGTTTAATCTGCATACTTTTTCAGTCAGCAGCAGTGGCATCTTCAATCAGCGAATCGCTTACTAGATCACCCCCACGCGAGGACACACACATGCTGATTGTGCCGAGCATTTCTCATGGTTCCAATCTTTTTCGGAGAATCAGAATTTTTTTCACACCTGATGTCAACCCGACCGAGAGGTGTCTTCCGCGATAACCACAAGACACCGCTATGCGGTCAAAGAGCTCTGCCGGTGAAAGTTCGCTCCGGCTTCGACGCTGAATATAAGATGTGCGTTCCCTTGGTCTGTTACGGATATTGTTCGTAATTCCTCATTTAGAGGGGAGCAGTGTATCCGAGTCGATCTTCGATCTTTTGTAGGGAATGCCACGGATCTATTTTTCTGAGAAGGAACGTTGTGTCTCGGTCAAGGAAAGTCGGGGCAAACGTGACGGCATTCCACGCATGTGCCTGCAGAACACGAGGCTCTTTGTAGTACTGAAATCGAAGCTTCGAAGAACCCCGGTGCGTACCTCGTCTACGTAATTATTAGCGTCGTACCCGTGTGACAGGTCCGCGGTGGGAGCAGAAACATCTGAAAAATGTAAATTGTCCCGAGGGGACAACTGTTCGGTAGCTGATCCGAGTCACGACTTTGCATAGCTAACCTTTCCTGATGACCTTTAGCAGGCGGGCAGGCGAGCAGGCAGGTTAGGCCAAGCCTAGACTAAGTCAACCGATTCCTCGAAGGGGTACTGACGTCTGGCGATTTTCGTTCGCTCGATCTCATACCCCGGTCACTGGGTCGCTACTCGGGGAATGCGTCGACGTCCACTCAACTTACGCATTCAAAGAATGTGAAGAAATCGACTCGATACCAACCATCATTCTTATCATTGATCATTGTTATTATTGAGATCGGTCATTATTTTCATTATTATATACCTCGGAGAGTCGATCCGATTCCGCCCGGATTAAATAACAGCCTACGTTCCAGATCTTCACTCCGTCCGGTTGTTCCGGTTCGGAACACCCTTTGCGTGCGGGACTCCGATGCGACTCCTCGAATATACCTACCCTTGAATATCATGAGAGAGTCGGGTCCTAAGAAGAAAGTATCTGACTGAGATCTCATGGCGGATGCCTCGCCGATCTTTATGTCACCGAGGGAGGAAAACCCCTCGAGGCGGTAGATCCGGCAACCCTTAACTCCGAATTCTGGCGCTGGTTTGTTGATCGGTTCTCACCGCGTCTCACTCCGAACCGTCTCGTAGTAGGAACCGATATCGCCTGCGGCCGTTAGCTTGAGCTTGAGTGAATTTACAATCGAACTTTATTTTTCGCTCAATTCCGCGCTTCTTATCTCTCCGTGTGTCGTCGTTGTCTTAGCCTCTTCGTTCGCGCGGATTTGGAATTCTTCAGGACGATGCTGCCGCTCGAAGTCGAAATCAACGTCTTCTACCTCGCAGTTGTCGCCGTGACCAGCGCTGAATGCTAACGGCGACAGCCGCGCGGAGGAGGAGGAGGAAGACGTCGTCGTCCACGATGAAGAGAAGAAGTAATAAATACCACAAGCTTTCGGCGACAGGACCGCTAACCAGCCTTGGCACCTACCTACTTACCGAATTTACGCTGCCAAGCCATTTCCTTAGATCGGGGAAAATGTGAGAATCAATGCAGATAGGATGAGAGAAAAAACACTGCGGTGTTATCGAGCCGAGAAGCTCCACGAGGATTTACGAGTGAAGAGTTTGATTCGATTTCAGTTTGATGTGTTTGCGGTCTGCGTGTCTTCCTCTCCTTCGCGTTGAGTGTGTCTGCAGGAAACGTGGGACATACAGGCGCACGCATCGTTTCCTTCGAGCTTATCTCTCCGTTTCAAGACTGGTCTTCTTTGTTGATAGATTGCGTGCGCCAGCAAGCCATCACTCGATAGATTCGCAGCTCGTCGCATCAACGACGTTCGTATTCGATCCAGGGGGGTGCTGACCGTCGGAATCGTTCTCATTAGAAATGCATAAAACGCTTGCCGACTTTCTGGAAAAGGCACCGAGAAAAGCGCGCGATAGCGGGCCGAGGACCGAAGTCGAAAGAGAGACAGCACGGGGAGCAGGCGGAGGCGCTTCCGGGAGTTTGCGGAACTCGCGAAATATTCAGGTCTTGTCCGGACAAGACAATGGAACTGATCCGCTTACTAGTCGAGGGCCATTACCCTCGGCAAACCGTCAAGGTCAAGTCGATCTTGATCGCAAACTCCCTCCGATAAAAATTCGATGAGGGTTTCCATTTCTTTATTCCTCTTTTGTGCTTTCCATGTCTGGTGTTCCCGTGTGGCGATGAAGAGAATCGAATAAGGCGGGAAGATCGAGCTGGGTCGACTTAGCCGGAAATCTACGCAGCCATCCTGCGGAAACGCCTGATCCGTTCTTCCTTTAGCTACCCCACGCAGTCCTCGTGGGTTACAGAATTTTAAGAAATCGTATTCGGCCGCGCGGTTTGTTTGAGAAGATTAGCCGAGAAACAGACCGGCGAACCAAGTGAACGTGTGTGTGTGTTTATTTTTGTGTCTATACCTCAAATCGTTGCCAAGATCCTCCAGCGTACGTTCCCAATACCTGACGCGGGCTGCAGGAACGTCTTTAGCTGATTTTCTGGTAGCTGCCGTATTCTGACGGTAGCCTTTCTTCTCTCCTCCCTCGTCTTCAGTTGCCTGCCTGCCTGCTTGTCGGCCTGCCTGTCTGTCTGACTGCGTGCTGGTCCGTCCGCCCGCCCGCCTGCCATTTTCGCCAGCTCGCTCGCTCCTCGGCTGCCTGGGGTCGAAACAACCAGTTTCGATGGATGAAGTAAAGCAGTCGGCGATGCCATCGGAGAATTAATACCGAATGCTGGTTGCTTGTTTTGCTGCTGCTGCTGCTGGTGACTGGCTCATCGGCTGGATCGTACCAACATCCAGACCCTCGCCAGAATTGTCGGTCGAAGATGTCGGGTCGTTCGAACCTCGGTGCCGTGGGAACGTCGGGTGGTGTAGGAGGATGGCGGCGGCGGCGGCGGCACTAATACCCGATCCAACAGCGCGCGTAACGCGATAAAAACGTTGCTCTCGTCGCATCCTCGTTTATCGTATCTTCTGCACGACTGCGTGCGGTTTCACTGAAGACACGTCGATCACGACGAACAAAAGAGATGGGAACGGGGAACAGAAACGGAGATGCGACCGTCCCC